TGGGCAGTGGAGTGTCGCAAGAGGAGAAGAGGGCGAGTAGAGAAGAGGAGGAGAGGAGCCCCATCAGAGAGCCAGGCAGAGCCCAGAGAATCTAGCACAGGATCTGGCCTAAGGAAAATGAGAAAAAGGGCAGGAGGGATGGGAGAAATAAGGGTGCCAGGGAGCGGGGGCCGGAGCGGAAGCAGGAGGGAGCCGTGGAAAGCGAGAGGAAGTAGAGGAGATGGAGAACGCATAGTTAAAAAGGTAATGACAGACGGGAGGTCTGTGAATTCCAAGAGCAAGGGTCCATTAGAAGAGGGCAAGGGGGGGCGCCTAGTTAGTTGCCTAGAGGCATGGAGGAAGAAAGGCGAATGGGGAGAAGCCAGAAAAAGAAAGAGGAGCCCAGGGAGGAAGAGGAGCTTAGGGGTCTGGGGAGAGAGCAGGGCCGAGAGTGGAGGGGCGGCCCAGGAGAATAATCTAAGGCCCCTAAGATGAGGCTGTAGGGAGGGAGGACTATATGTGGAGGCAAGAGAGGAGGAAAGGCGAAGAAGGAGGGAAGAAGCCAGTCCAGGGTGAGGATGGCCAAAAGGAGTAGGGGGATAACAGGGGGGAAACAGCCCCCTAGGGGGGTGGGCCGGCAGATGAGCATGAGGCGTAACAGATGAGGCAGAGGAGGAGGAAGCAAGGCAGGGAAACGAAGAGCACCCTTGTAGCTGCAAGGAGAAAACAGCCTGAAGATAAGGGGGCGGCGAGGAGGTATGCTCCATGTCCCAGAAGGTACATAATAGAGAGGACGAAAAGGGGGGGAGTGCAAGAGAGGCAGAGGAGGGGAGAGATAAGGTCAAAGGAGAGCTCGGAGGAGGGGGAGAGAGTAGAAGAGTAAGCGGGCCAGCCAATCGCAGAGCGGCACTAGAGAGAGAGGCGATGCCAGAAAGAGCCAGAGGGCCTCCTTACAAAGCTAAGGGGATAAGAGTCGGGGGCGGCAGAAAGCAAGGCCGGGTGAGAGAGTGGGAGATCCGGGGATAGGAGGGGGGTTTGGCGCCTGCTCCGGATGGGGTGGCTTGGATAATGATGTGGTGGGAGGGTCTCTGTGGATACCCGGGATCGTGGTGGGGAGGGTGAGGCTGGCTGGTTGTGTTTCCGCGTGAGGCATGCTAAAAAGCCTAGGATGCTTGGGACGTGATTCATGGCGGTGCGGAAGTTGGTCTAGTAAGGCATATGCCGCATATGATGTCGTGAGCAGGGTGGTGGTGCCCCCTTAGTGTTTGGGTAAAGATTTTTATTGACAAGATGGGCTCATTTACAGCTATCTCCAACAAGTGACGGGGCGTCTCCATATGAAAGGGGTGGGAGCTTAGGGTCTGTCAGTTGAGGAGGAAGTGGAATAGGGTAGTACAGAAGGCCCAAAAATCATAGAGAGAGAAAGGTGAAGGGAATCAGAAGAACAAGGAAAGAGCTAGAGTGAAGGGTGGTAAAGGATAAAAAGGAAAGAGATAAGAAAGATAAGAGGGAGTGGGGCCCGCGAGCCCAAGCGAGGAGACGGCGAGACAGCTAACTCTCTAGAACAGGATCTGACGGCAGGGAGAGTGGGTGGGAGGGGGGGGGAGGAAAAAAGCAGGAGGGGGAAGGAGGGGGGGGATGGCCACAGGTAAGAGAGCCCTTAGCAAGCGGGAAGGAGGAGGAGCCAGGCCTACAGAAGCAACAGAACGGATGGAGGAGCGAGCGTGCGCGGATTCTGAGGGAGGGCCGTAGGGGCTGGGGCACTCAATATGGCTTCTAACAAAAACAAACACAAAATCTGTGGTGTGAGCCGGGCTGGTGAGAAGCAAAGAAAGAAGGAGAGTCCTCTAGGTGATGAGCAGAGACCAGCGGGAAGCGTCCACGGGAGATAGAGGAAAGAAGAGGAGCGGGAGAGCTCAAGAGGCATGGAATGGGAGAGGAGTACAGCGACGGAAGGGAGCGAGAGGCGAGTCACTACTAGATCCTAACAATGGAGACAGGACAGGGGCATCAAGCAGAGCAGAGTCAGCAGGTGAGGCCCCAGATACAGGTGGCAAGACAAAATAAGTCAAGAGCTGAGACGGAGTGGAGAAGATAAGGGCACCATCCAGTTAGGCTAATGAGGAGAGGGGGGCGGGGAGCGCGGATCAGAGCCAGAGAGAGAAAGGGGGGCAGAGCAGAGCAAGGGATGTACATGCGCTTCAGGGAAGGAATCGAAGATAAGGAAGCGGAGAGGAGGGGGCAGAGGCATTATATATAAGCCCAACGATGAAGAGGGTGGCAGAAGCCAGGCTGGAAAGGTGCCGGGAGGGGAAGTGATAGCGACGAGTCCAAGGGAGAATCCAGCTCAAGGCTGATAGATATTGAGGCTTTGAGGTAGGAAGATAGTAGGGGGGTAGCATGAAGCAATGAGTACATGTGGGTGGAGGCATAATGAAATCTAACAGTGCGAGGGCGAAGTGCGTCGAGGGGGAGGTCCGAGCTGAGGAGGGAGGAGGGGAAAGGGGAAGGAGGGCAGGAGCATCAAAAGTTCGGTGCAAGTAGAGGCATGGGCCCGAAGCCCGGGTGGCCTGAGCCGAGGTCAGAGAGGCGAGAAAAGGGGCAGGGCCCGCGGAGAGTTTCCTAGTTGATTCTGGAAACGTCAGGTTTGATAATAGGTTAGACGGGTTGGTAAAGGAGCCGGTCTCAGGGGAAGTGTTAGGTCCTTGTGTGGCCGCGAGCTGAGGAGCGGAAAGAAAGAGGTACAGCAGCAGTAGGAGAAAAGGATCAAGCATTTCAGAATCGCCGGAGTGGATAAGCATGTGTGGTAGAAATTCAATTGAAAGGAACAGTGGTGGGTTTGAATAGCAGCGGATAGACAGAGCCGCCCCTAGGCGGTGAGTGCAGAGAAGATCAGCTCCAGATGAGGAGAGAAAACAGGGAGTAAGAGGGGCTCCTCCAGCCGCACCGCTACAGGGGCAGGAAGGCAAGAGGGAGGCAAAGGGGGCCGGCAGGATGGAGAGCGTTGGGAGAGGAGAGAAGAGGGAAGAGCTGGGAAAGTCGCGGAGTTTGTAGGGATAGGGAGGGGGAGCTCCATAGAGTATCACACATCAGAGATGGATGCTAGAAGGTATAGAAGGGCGGTCGTGACTAACAAAGGAAATAAAATACCAAAAGAAGGATGGAGTAAAAGGTGAGGAATGCACGTGGGAGTGCTCGTAGTCCTTGGGTAAAGCTAGAAGAAATGACATTGGAAATGGGAATGGCGATTGGTCCCAGCAAGTAGTAATGAAAATAATTAGTCCACTCACAGCCCACGCCAGACTAAGATACGTCTCTGTGCAAAGGCGAAAGGAACTCGATAATTAAGCAAGAGAAATAGGAAGAGAGGGGAGCGGGGGAGAGGGAGGGGAGAAGAGAGCTAGAGCAAACCCACTATCGAGGGGGAAATAAGTTGGGGAGTAAATGAGATGGGGGGAGGGGGTGAAGGGCGGGGCGGGGGCTTGAGTGTTGCAGAGCGGGGGGTGGGATGTGAGGAAGGGGGTGTACGTGAAGTAGGGGGTGGGGGGTCAAGAGGTCGTAGGTTGTAGTAAGGACGAGTAAGATGGAGGCGGGTCCATGAGATAGGAACCATGAGCTAGGACGGGGGGGGCATCCGATGTGAGGATTCATTGGGATAAGGGTGAATAGCGAGGGAGCAGCGGGGTGGTGAGAAGGCAGGAGACCTAAGGCCGCAGAAGAAGTCCCAGGCCCCGAGTATTGATATGGGGGGTCATGGCGGTTCGTTCAGGAGCCAATAGCAGGAAAGGTAACATAAAGTAGCAGGGCTAAGAGGTCATGTCTTAGGGAGAGCGCTGCGATCAGAGGGCAAAGGTGGAAACGTCCCAGGGGGATCCGAGAAGGAAGGACTGCAAGAGGCAAGAAGGCAATGGATGGAAGGATAGAGAGCTAGAGCGAGAAGAAGAATTATATAATAAAGAGAGGAGTCTCTAGAGAGCGAGAGTGAGCCATGTCTGCCATTGGGCAGTTGTGTGATATAAGTGAAAGAGGATCCAGAGAAGTCCGTTGTGAGAGATGGAGCCAGGCCAGTGGGAAATAGGAGCGCGAATAGGGGGCGCGCTGCGCGAAACGGAGTCCGGGAGGAATGGGGGAGCCAAAGAGGACGAAAATTGTCCGCCCCCAGGGCGGGCGGACGAGAGGGGAGGAACAGAGGGCGGCAAGAGGTGCGCAAAATAAGAGAGAGGTGTAGCGTGTAAGTAGATGAGGATCGGAAGAGGGGGGATGTAATAGGGCCCCAGCCCTCAAAGCTGGGAGAAGGAGCACAAGGATATTTAGAGTGGCCATGAGAAGTAAATGGCAAGAAGAGGTCCAGGCAGGTGGGAAAGCCAGTATGCAGGGAAATCCAATTATTAAGAAAGGCGAAGAGCTTCCCAGCGTATGGGGCAGCCAAGCAAGGCTAGGAGCCCGGCCGCTGGGAGTTGTATCAGTGGGAAAAGTTATCTGATAAATAGAGCGAATAGTGTCTGGAGGTCGGGCCCGGGCATGCCAAGAGGGGTAGGGGGCCTAGCGCGGGCCGCCATTGCAGCGGAAGAGGGCAACGGCAAGGAAGAGAGGAGAAAAGGGAGCAGGGCCAATGAGGCAGGAGAAGCTAGAGGTCTATTAGAAAGCCCTTAGAGAAAGGGAGGGAGTGGGATCATGGAGATAGAAGAGTAGAATGATGGCAGAGAGCAGGCCGGGAAGGAGAGGCGGGAAGAGGCGCAGGGAGCAGAAGGGGGGCGAGAGAGCGGAGAGCATTATATGAGAAAGCAGAGAAGTGAGGGGATAGAGGGGATAAAGATAAGAGCAGCAAGGGGGCAGAAAAGATACTGGGAGGGGGAGGAGAAAGGGGGTCCGCAATGGGGGGTGTCAGAGCTCCCCTGGGCAGGCCGAGGGGAAGTTCAAGAGATAATGAGGAGCCAGGGCCTCGAGCAGGCATCAGCAGAAGAGGAGGGGAGGCCGGCTTAAGCTGGTAGAGTGCAGCAGAGTGTCGTGGGTTCGAATCCCACCCAGGGCAGCTCTTTTTCCTAGAGTACAAGGCCAAGTGCAATAATGCGTAAAAGTTGCTACAGCTGTTGTACATAGACACGGTGCCACATTCTCTTGCTATGCAGCTTACTGCTGCGTATAAGCGGCTGTAAGTCAATCTCTGTCTCTCCCTGTCTGTCAGCGGTGCCGCTAGGTCTGATAATGACGTCAGTGGAGGCCACTCTGGACACAGTGAGACAGCAGGTGGGGCATTTCACTGTTCCAGACGAGAACGAGGGTGGGGACAGACCTCTCGCGGAGAACTGGAGGTTTCTTGAGAGTAAGATCACCCCTTGTCTCTTCTCTCTCCTTCCGTTTCTTCCTCTATCGATAGTAAGCTTTGACCTCTGACCCTCACCCTTCTCTCTCTCTCTTCTGGCTGACTATTTGTCCTCTTTCCTATTCCTCCTCCGTCCTTATTACCTCCCTCCATCCCTGTATATTCCACCCCAAACCTCTCTCCTCCTTCTATTTTCTCTCTCTCTCTTCTCTCCATTGTTGTTATATTTTCTGCACCAACATATTAACGTAACTGTTCTTCTATGTATGGCACTTCTGTTCACCTCTCCATTTCTTTTCCCCTCAGCTAACAGCAGTGGGTTGTATGAGCAGATGTTTCAAATCACTCCGGACCAAGAGCACTCTATCGTCATTGGCAACATGCCTTCCGACGGCATCATTGTCATGGAGATGGACTCTGTGGTACACTTGCGGGCAAAACTCTTCTCGCCTGAAGAAGACTTACCCGAGTTAGCCTTACACCTTTCTTGTCTCTCGCATGTTTGATCTATGCGAACTGTGCATGCGCGGTACCGCTAATTGATGGGCTGGCTGGGCTATTAGTATGCGTTTACTCGTGGTCTCCCACTAGTATATAGCTCGCGGAGAGTCTGACACAGGCTGCTACAGCGGTAGATAGCATGCGGGAGTCGATGCACACCCTTTGTTGTGACTTCTTGTGCCTTCAAGACACACAGAGCAAGCGCATGCACGCCAAGGGTTAATAATGATTTGATACATACTTGTCTACAGACATCCGCTGTCATCGCTACCTGAAGAGGAGTCTCAATCACGACAAATTGGAAGGAACCACTCGTATAGTGAGTGTATATGTACAACAGTCCTACCACAGATCATGAATATCATTAGCCACTGTGTGATGTGAATTGTGTTGTAGGGAGGGCCACTAGTCCAAGCTGTGATGTGTGTCCTCTTCCTCCTCCTCGCGCAATGTCTGTGGCCGACCGGTAAGCACCCAGCAATTTCACAATCTCTCTTGTACTTAAGTTTCTTATTGCAATGGTTTTTGTGCTTTTTGCCTTCTCTTACATTGACGACCTCTAGGTCCTTCACAGCTGTTTATTCATCTTCAATCCTCTCTTCCCCCTTTGCTTGTATCTGTCTCTCTTCACTCCTTTACTGGTGTCATTCTCCCTCCCTCCCCCTCTCTCCCTCCATCCCCCTCCCCCCTCCCTCTTTCAGTAATGCAGGAGACCCAAGTCTACAAGTTCCAGGAAGTCGTTTTGACCAGAAAAGAGGGAGCATAGGATCAAACCAATCAGAGGATGGATACGAGGGAGACTCTGAAAAGTATGCAATTTTACGTACTTCAGAGAGTGCATGCTACAGTATGTACATACAATGGAGTCTCGCTATAATGAATTGCTCAAGACCTAACGTTCGTTCGTTCTCAGTAAGCGAAATATACAGTGTGTTTTATGGCTCCGAGGGTGTGTCCGTCACACTATGCTGTTGTACAGCTAGTTCCGCATGTGGCACTCTGACGCAGGCAACAACTAATAGTTTATATTGTACACTACGTAGTGTATATGTCGTATCATTCTGTTCTTTATCCACAGTCTGTCTCCAAGCCCTCTACGGAACATTGACATGGGATCAGAGTAAGACAACCACCAAACCCTTTACTTAATTCATTCCCCCTTTTGTTTTCCGTCTCTTTCGCTTTCTCTTTCTCCCCCTATCCTCGATCGGTAATCTCTTCTCTTTGTTTTCCTTCCTCTCTTTTCAATTTATCTTCTCCCTCTCCCCCACCCTCTCCTCCTCATGCGATAAGTAGGATAAAGCATGCATGTAATCATCCAAACACCATGCAACACAATCATTACTCTGAAAATGAATAAACCATGTAACTGTGTAAGCACAAGTAGAAATGTGGCATGTTACTAAATAATGCCTCCTTTTCTCTCCCCCCTCTCTCCCAGTTCAACAGGAGGTGATACAGACGCAGGGTCGGCTCCGAGCAGTCTACAAAAGGCACTCATCGATGCCGTCAAAAGAGGACAACTGAAGAAAGTGTGTTGCGCAAGACTTTGAAATGAAACCATAGCAACACCATAAAATATCACTTTGTATATTTTCGGCCTTTCTGTTATATTATATTTATATTGCCTTCTTCTCTCTTGTGAACTTGTTTTTATGTTTGTTTCCACGTGATGTTTACGTTTGTGTTTTTGTCTGTGTGCGTTTGCTTCTTTTTCTTTGTGTGTGTGAAATGATGTTGTTAGGTACAACAGTATCACGAAGCAGGTGCTAAGTTGACTGTTGCCGGTAGCAACGGATGGACGGCACTGCACCACGCAGCGAGACTCGGCAAATATGAGATCGTCACATATCTAGTTCAACACTGTAAGAAAAAAATCGTTTTTCTTGAAAGAAACGCAGTCACCATAACAATGTTATTTTTTCACAGTACCAAAAGAAGCACTTGATTTAGTTGAAAACGAAAAGTGAGTTTTACATTCTTTCTCTAGCGTTTTATTCATAATTGTGTGTAATCATTCAGGCTGCAGACACCTCTACACAAAGCTGCGTGGTACGGTTATTTCGACATATGCAAAGTTCTAGTTGAAAGCGGGGCTTCACTATACAGACAAGACTATCAGGTATGTTCATGTTATTGAAATGACCGACAGAATCAATTAAGCATTGGGTATCTCTTTCTGGCTCTGCCTAGTGTTCTGTTTTGCACGGTCAATAATCTGTAGAAGGTGGGTGGGTGGGTGGGTGGAAATCCTAAAAGTTCAGTTAAACTCCTGCACGGAGGAACCCCAAGCAACATCTGCCTACACACCCCCATGCGGAGGAACCCGAGTAACATCTCCCTCGAGTTTTCACAAACCCATCTGCGCGGAGGAAAGACCAACAGTTCGCACAAACCCCTCCGTGCGTAGGAACCCCGACCAACAGTTCGCACAAACTCCTCCGTGCGTAGGAACCCCGACCAACAGTTCGCACAAACTCCTCCGTGCGTAGGAACCCCGACCAACAGTCACAAACCTCCTCCGTGCGTAGGAACCCCGACAACAGTTCGCACAAACTCCTCTGTGCGTAGGAACCCGCACGTTTCACCCCTCGTGCGTAGAACCCGACCTACAGTTTGCACAAACCCCTCCGTGCGTAGGAACAGACCTACTGCGCACAACACCCCTCGTTCGCACAACCCCTCCGTGCGTAGGAACCCGACCAACAGTTTGCACAACTCCTCCGTGCGTAGGAACACCCGACCAACTGTTCGCACAAACTCCTCTGTGCGTAGGAACAGACCCCTCTGTGGTAGAACACCCGACCTACTGTTTCGCACAAGACCCCCTCCGTGCGTAGGAACACCGACCTACGTTCGCACAAACTCCTCCGTGCGTAGGACCCCGACCAACAGTTCGCACAAACCCTCCGTGCGTAGGAACCCCGACCAACAGTTCGCACAAACTCCTCCGTGCGTAGGAACCCCGACCAACAGTTCGCACAAACTCCTCCGTGCGTAGGAACCCCGACCAACAGTTCGCACAAACTCCTCCGTGCGTAGGAACCCCCGACCAACAGTTCGCACAAACTCCTCGTGCGTAGAACAAACCCCTCCGTGTAGGAAACCCCGACCACAGTTCACAACCCTCCGTGCGTAGGAACCCCGACCAACAGTTCGCACAAACCCTCCGTGCGTAGGAACCCCGACCAACAGTTCGCACAAACTCCTCCGTGCGTAGGAACCCCGACCAACAGTTCGCACAAACTCCTCCGTGCGTAGGAACCCCGACCAACAGTTCGCACAACTCCTCCGTGCGTAGGAACCCCGACCAACAGTTCGCACAAACTCCTCCGTGCGTAGGAACCCCGACCAACAGTTCGCACAAACTCCTCCGTGTGTAGGAACAGACCTCTCCGTGCGTAGGAACCCCGACCAACAGTTTGCACAAACCCCTCCGTGCGTAGGAACCCCGACCAACAGTTCGCACAAACTCCTCCGTGCGTAGGAACCCCGACCAACAGTTCGCACAAACCCCTCCGTGCGTAAGAACCCCGACCAACAGTTCGCACAAACTCTCGTGCGTAGGAACAGACCCCTCCTGCGTAGACCCCGACCAACAGTTTTACACAACCCTCCGTGCGTAGGACACAACCCCTCCGTGCGTAGGAACCCCCGACCACAGTTCGCACAAACTCCTCCGTGCGTAGGAACCCCGACCAACAGTTCGCACAAACTCCTCCGTGCGTAGGAACCCCGACCAACATTCGCACACACACCCCTCCGTGCGTAGAACCACCACCAACAGTTCGCACAACTCCCTCCTCCGTGCGTAGAACCCCCGACCAACGAGTTCACAACAAACTCCTCCGTGCGTAGGAAACCCCGTCCCGGCCACCTGTTTTCGCACACCTCCTCCGTGCGGAGGAACAGACCCTCTGTGCGTAGGACGACCACAGTACACAAACCCCTCCGTGCCGTAGGACCCCCCGACCTAACATTCGCCAAGACTCCTCTCCTCCGTGCGTAGGAACGCCCGACCAACAGTTTCGCACAGCACCCCTCGTGCGTAAGACCCGACCACCAGTTTGCACAAACTCCTCCGTGCGTAGGACCCCGCCGACCACAGTGCACACAAACTCCTCCGTGCGTAGGAACCACCCCGGCCAACTGTTCGCACAAACTCCTCCGTGCGTAGGAACAGACCCCTCCGTGCGTAGGAACCCTGACCAGCAGTTTGCACAAACTCCTCCGTGCGTAGGAACCCCGGCCAACTGTTCGCACAAACTCCTCCGTGCGTAGGAACAGACCCCTCTGTGCGTAGGAACCCCGACCAACAGTTTACACAAACCCCTCCGTGCGTAGGAACCCCGACCAACAGTTCGCACAAACTCCTCCGTGCGTAGGAACCCCGACCAACATGTTCGCACCAACACACTCGCTCCGTGCGTAGAGAACCCGACCAACAGTTTGACGCTAGAAACGGACCTACAGTAGCAAAACACCCTCCGTGCGTAGGAACACCCAGACCACCACAGTTCGACACACCTCAAAGCTCCTCCTGGCTACAAACACTCTCCGTGCGTAGGAACAGACCCCTCCGTGCGTAGGAACCCGACCAACAGTTCGCACAAACTCCTCCGTGCGTAGGAACCCCGACTGACAATTCGCACAAACTCCTCCGTGCGTAGGAACCCCGGCCAACTGTTCGCACAAACTCCTCCGCACGTAGAACAGACCCCTCCGGGCGTGCGACCCGACCAACTGTTTGCACAAACTCCTCCGTGCGTAGGAACCCCAACCAACAGTTCGCACAAACTCCTCCGCGCTGAGGAACCCCGGCCAACTGTTCGCACAAACTCCTCCGCACGTAGGAACAGACCCCTCCGTGCGTAGGAACCCCGACCAACTGTTTGCACAAACCCCTCCGTGCGTAGGAACCCCGACTAACAGTTCGCACACAACCCTCCGTGCGTAGGAACCCCGACCAACAGTTCGCACAAACTCCGTGCGTAGGAACAGACCCCTCCGTGCGTAGGAACCCCGACCAACAGTTGCACAAACCCTCCGTGCGTAGGAACCCCGACCACATTTGCACAAACCCTCTGTGCGTAGGAACCCCGCCATGTGCACAAACCCCTCCGTGCGTAGGAACCCCACCACGTTCGCACAAACCCCTCCGTGCTAGGAACCCCGACAACTGTTCGCACAAACTCCTCCTGCGTAGGAACAGACCCCTCTGTGCGCACGGAAACTCCTCGTGACCAACTGTTCGCACAAGACCCCTCCGTGCGTAGGAACCCCGACCAACAGTTCGCACACACCCCTCCGTGCGTAGGAACCCCGACCAACTGTTCGCACAAACCCTCCGTGCGTAGGAACAGACCCCTCCGTGCGTAGGAACCCCGACCAACAGTTTGCACAAACTCCTCCGTGCGTAGGAACCCCGACCAACTGTTCGCACAAACTCCTCCGCTGCGTGAGGAACCCCGACAACTGTTCGCACAAACTCCTCCGTGCGTAGGAACAGACCCCTCCGACCAACAGTTCGCACAAACTCTCGCGTGAATGGAACCCCGACCAACAGTTCGCACAAACTCCTCCGTGCGTGAACCCCGACCACAGTCGCACAAACCCCTCCGTGCGTAGGAACCCCGACCAACAGTTCGCACAAACCCCTCCGTGCGTAGGAACCCCGACCAACAGTTCGCACAAACTCCTCCGCGCTGAGGAACCCTGACCGACAGTTCGCACAAACCCCTCTGCACGGAGGAGTTTGTGCACCAAAATACACCAAAATAGCATGGGGTTCGCCTTTGTAGAGAGCTCATACCTATACAAGAGTGTCCCTTATCGGAAGTTATATAATTATACTGTGTATACCCACTCCAGGGAAATACAGTGATGGTTCAAGCCAGGAGAAGTGGAGACAACGAACTAATGAAATATCTCAAAGGTTAGCTCTCCATAATATTGTGCTCACAAGCAAGAGTAAATTTTTTTAATGTATGTCTGCAGAAAAAGAATCTTCACGTCAACAATCTCTGGATGATGAAGAACAGGCCATCTAAAATTGTTATCCCATCAAAATTAGACATACTGCTCCTTATAACAATACTTTACATTCTATTGCCAACTGTGGTGGTTCTGTTTTTATATAAATGGCGTTGTACAGTATGCATCCACCTTTTCTATTGCTTGTGCGGAGATTTGCGCATGCGCATATTGTACAAGTGAGCCCCTCCCACTTTTAATCTGTTTGTCTACCTACCTGCACAACACTGAGCTACTAGCTTAGCTCTAGAGACAACTGGCCGGCAAAAAACTAAGAACGAGCCATGAACCGACACAGAAAGTAAGCTGTGTGGCAGTACATGTCAACTTTATGAAGATTGTAGTTGCTTAGTTACACAAGAAAACTTTGTCGTTCACTTAGCTATAATATACACCCAAGCGTAGCTGCACTTACTGAAGTACACCTCCCGCAGCGCGAGAGAGCCGGAGCTCTCGCTACTGGCGAAGGGACGAGGGCTGATGGACGGTGGAGTCGAGTTGGAATGCTTTGCAGACGACCGAAGATCATTCACACTCAATGTATGCTGTAGATCACTCTCTGTAGGCTAATAACTTGTACGGCTGTGGAGATTATAATAAATGGCTTAGTTGTCTCGTGTATGGTTAATATTGTCAGAAGGCTTAAAAGGTATCAAAAGCACAACTGGCTGCATGAAATGGAAGTGGTATTTGTGCAAAGCAATGACAAAGGTAGCAGCAAAGGCAAAGCCCTGAGATAGACACTTGGAGACTACTGCTGCTGTGTGTTCAGGCAACTAAAGCCCCCTTCGCCCAAAACCATCAATACAACATGCACCACAATACGCACATATATGTAGCTATAGAAAGATAGCAGAGTGTCGCTGTTCTATAGGGTGAGTCCTTCATCAGACCTTCCACGAGTCCAGAAGGGCAACAGGCAAAGCCGTACAGAAGATTCCAGCTAATGCTCCCCAAGACCTATGTCACCAGAAGAGGTGAGTATTGTATATGCAAAAGTGCACGCTCCTACCCATTAGCTTAGAGTTAGCTTCCAATAAACCCAGTTATGACGAATACGAGGCTAAGACCCACCGTTACTTCCAAATTTTAGACAGGCCTTTGTAAAAGGTTCAGTATCTCAACAAGCTGACGTATACAATCTATGATGCAAGCGCCATACACCTCAAGCATGGCCATTACTGAATACAGCTTCATTCAATAAGCCACCACATCTCCTCGTCTCAACGTCCTCAGGTCAAATGGTTCTGTTTACATCGCCTGGAGACATGATAGTCGGCCAGTCAGTGACGCTGCAGCATCGGAAAGAGGTGACCAGTGCTACAGCTGCTCGCAGACTAAAGACAGTCAATAAACTTGTCTCTTCCTCCATGGACTACGAACCAACCAAGGTGAGCCGTTGAATCCCCACAAAATGCTGGCAGAATTGAGCCCAGATCACTCTCAAGTTGGGAGAAATATTTATGGAACTCCTCTAATCCGGACACCAATTGGACAGAAGAAAGTGCTCGTATTATACACCTGTTCTTGGGGAAGGCAAAGAGCTTCCTCTTAGAGAGGTGTCCTTACAGACGGTTCCACTGTAGGTACTATTTTTTCTACTCGTCTTTTTATAAATTTTTGTCCATGTAATCAAATTTTTTATCCTTGCAGTCAAAATCTTCAGAGGTCGGGGAGTTCACTCCTGTCTACCTCCAGAGACTACGTGAAGCTGCAGAGTGAGTTTACTTTAACCCTTTTGCCCTTCTATGACTTCCTCATTAACCCTTTCTCTCCCTATGACTTCACCCAAAATGCCTTTTACAGTAACCCTTTGCCCCTTTACATTAACCCTTTCTACCGCTGACTTTTGCGTTAACCATTTTCCCTCTATGACTTTTACATTAACCCTCTGGCCCTATTAGTTTTACATTAACCCCTGTCCCTCTGTGATTTTTACATTAACCCTTTGACTTTTACATACTAACCCTGTCTGTACCAGGAGGGCAAAGGAGGCTGAAAACTACGAAGCACAGGGTTTAGACAAAGGTATGTGTGAGCACAACACATCAACTACAAATAGAACCTTACCCACACTGAAACACCTGTGGACCTTATGCACTGATGATAATAGACGAATGCAAAGCATTATTGTAATAGGAGCACAAAATCTCAATTGCCACTTGATACAATTGTCCCTTCCAATGCACCCATGAATAGTAAATGCCTATACGTAGCTTACCGTAACAGAAGGGTGTTGGCATTTTTATATCCTAAATTCATACACAGTGAGTAAAAAAAATGGTACATAACCGCTCAACATGTACGTAGTTGTCAGATGTGTGGTAAGTAGTATTCACTGTGTGATGTCACTAATGAATAATACTGTACTGTGTGAATATGATCACTGGTGTATGGAGGGGTAGTAGAAGGAATTCTATCACCTCTACACATGCCGGTAATGGAAGCTCTTTTTTGGCTCTTTCGCTGGACTAGCATACACACTTTTCTGCTCTCCCATCTTATGCTCTTACGTACCTTTTTCCTCGATCTTCTCTCATATTATTTCTCCTCTCCCCACCCCCCCTCTTTTTTTCGCTGTTCTCTCTCTTTAGCTTTGTATAAACTTTGCATAACGTTCAACTCCTAACAAAACCTCGTTATCCTTGATCACTCGAAAGCACATTGAATTAAAATTAGTTCATTCTCTCTCTCCCTCCCTTCCCTCCCCCCTCCCCTTCCAACAGATGAGAACATGGAAGAAGATGACTTGGAAGCTGCAGACTCTGGAGTTGGACCATCTCTTCGGCCATCTTCCTCCGGTCGTCTCTCGTCTCTCTCTCACTACAGCGATGGAACTGTCATCCAGATACCAGGGGAGAGGTCCGCCCATGTATTTTCGTCTATAATAGCGTATCTGTATTACTAGATAAGTGCTTAGCGTTGTTGGCGAGCGGGAGCCATTCTGTAGCGACACTAACCTTGAACTCTATCAAACATTCTAGAATATTCCAAGCAAGTGGTAGGGTAAGAGTGTGTTTGGATACCATTATCAGATTTTCGGATCACTACAGGCCCACAATACTATTAGCTCCTAGACTGACTATGTAAGGCCTTAGACTGACAATATGTCTTCTATTACTGCATGTTTCTTCCATTGTCCCTAAACTGACTAGTACTGTATAATATTCATTGCCTCTAGTACTGATGTTATCCCTACACACTGACTAGTAGTACTGCTCCTGTATTTCCTCCTAGACTAATGGAAGAGAGGGAAGATTTGACAGTATCACCTACAGACCCATTCAAACTACTAGCTGGAGAACTGGGAGGCCACATGGTAATTCTAGATAATATTATAATAGTCTTAGCTGTGCCGTGGCCGAACACTAGGCACTGACCTAGTTCGATATTCTAAGGCAACTGTGTGATATTTAAAGGCACAACTCCATGCTTATAAAATTACATAGCTATCGTCTCTGTGGTTGCAAAGGAGGAGATAAGACCGTGATGAGTTTATACTTAATAATTCGCGAAGCTTATTGGCCAGAGAACATTAAATGGCCATTATCACCGTTGTTGGTGCTATATAGGCAGCGCAACATGTGGTAACTCCAGAAGATTATGTATTACTCCACACAGTCATTTCAGTGGAGCCTCTAGGTCTCTCCAATGGAATGACTGTATACATACACTCTGGCCACTACTACATTGTAGGAAGGCAGATAACTGCCTCTTTATACAGTGGCAGGGCAGCGGAAAAACACTTCCTGTTATAGTGTGTTGTGTGTGTGTGTACGTGGAATCTTTAGGGGAAGTTATTGCATGTGGCGTACCCTACAACTACCAAATATGCTATTACCACCCACGTACATGCCGGTCTGCCACCACACACGAAAATTAAGATATCCTTCGCATTGTGTATTGCCGACTTTGAGCCCGCCTGCTGAGCTGCCCTGGTAGCTCAGCTGGTAGAGTGCTCTGCCTATAGAGATAGTATTGTTGTGGGTTTGAATCCCACCCATGGCAGCAGTTTTATCCTGGGTGTTGGGCTATTATTTTGTTACTCCACTGTGATTCATTTACTCATACAGGCAAGTGGACAAAAAGTCAAGACTAAGCCAAGCGGCGGAAAAAGCACGAAAAAACGAAAAGCCACTTCGGACATGACTACAACAGCCCAGAAACAAAAACCTTCGAAAACAAAAGGAAAGAAGAGAAAGAGAGGGAAAAAACCGACACAGAAAGACAGTACAGATGGGGGTGGGGTTTCCCACGGAAGTTCAAAGGTCAACGTTCTGAGGGACTTGGAGAGTAAGAGGAGAGAGAAGAGGGAGTTGGAGAGGCAGAGGGAAGAGCAGGCGAGGGAGCGTGCGAGGTTGGAGGACGAGTTGAGGAAACTGAGAGAGAGCAAGACGGAGGGAGAATCGGAGGTGTCCGATGAAGGAGCCAGCGAGGGAGGAGGGAGAAGGGGGAGGGGAGAGTGTGTTGCCATGGCAAGAGGCGGAATAAAGGCTGACATGGAACACAAGAGAAATGATGAAGATACATGTCACAGGAAGAGAGACAGCACAGAGGGGTGAGTCTGAGATTACCAAAATTTCCGCGAGAGAAACGTTTTGCTTTATTTTAAGTATACGGCGTAATCTTGTGCTACATAAGACATAGATGATCCCAACTTTGTCACTTTCATTGTTTTAATAACAGCTCACCGATGAGGTATACAACAGTTAGTGAATCCCCGTGCTAGAGACACTATGTATACATTGGTGCTTCCACTAGAACCACTATAGAATACCCTGGTTTTGCTTAGCTTTGGAAACACGTTTCAGTATAGATCCCCAAACTTCCTGGGCTTGGAAAATTGGCTGACCACTCATCTTCATCATCTCATGCGCACAAACCAATCTCACTTTCAATTGGTACATATAATGCAGGCAGGCAGGCCTTAATACCACATCCCACATCTGTTAAAACCCTTTTACCGCGATTACCACTGAAAAAAGGGATGGGGTTATGAATGGAGCAAGAACTTAAACCCTTTCCACGCAGAAACCATGTACAAAGTATTAAGGCCTAGTATTAAAAGCTGCTGCTTATGGGCACATTTATGTGTCCTTGGCTGGTTAGGTGTTAAACCTTAGAAGTTTAAAACCCTTTAAAGACTGGGAAATGCTGTAAGTTGGGACATTTCCCTCACTGGCCAGTGGAATCTGTGTTAGTGAAGTCCCAAATGCTTTGTTACTACAAGAATTCAGTTGAGTGTAGTGGTTTTGAGGTGTGGGCAGGGGAGAAAGAATTTGGCAAATGTCACCGAAAACAGAGTTGGACGAATTGTTCCGAGAATGGAGCGCTAATGGCGAGATAGTGCCGGAAGAAGCGAAGCGCTAATGGCGAGATAGTGCTGGAAGAAGTAGTCGATTCGTGCGGGCATGCTTTGGGGGGAGCGGAAAGTCATGGTCAACATACTCAACGCAACCTTTGTGCGTGAGCCAAAAGTCTCACACAATTTAACCTGGATGATGGACGAAAATGCGTGTTTTGGGAACACTTGCAGCAATGTTGAGTGGATCCATCTTACCCATACATTGAACTTGCATGAGACGTTGGTCCTACGCAGCAAGTTGAACTGTGTGTGTGTGTGTGTGTTGGGCTTGTGAGGTAACAAGCCAGTGAGCACACTTGCAAAGGGGGAAAAGTTTTTAAAAAAAACTTTCATGTTAAGAGTTCATGAAAATTGAAATGTTATGCAAAACCATGGCAAAATTGTGTCCTTCCTTCATAATGAACTCAATACATGTATTCCTAGTGGGCTATATAGTACAGTGTCCATACATGACAAGTATGTGTGTTAGCTAGCGTACTAGCCATGAAGTGTGGCGTGCAAAAATACAATAACTGTCTACTTCAGTCATTATACGCCAATCACTGGATTGTGCCAAATGCCTGTACCACACAATGCTACAGACAAGAGTATGCATACCCAAACTACATGTCAGACTAGTGCAGACAAATCAGATTATCGTCTGCAAATTAATGGTCCATTATCAGCTGTTCATTTGGCACCAGAAATAAGTCCTGGAATGACAGCTGCATTTCATTGTCATATGGAACACTAATTGTTGCTATTTTTATCAGCTCTCAGACTCGACTGATCTCTCAGCACACGCCCAACTGCACCAGTCACATGTGTGTGTGTGTGTGTGTTTCTGTGTGTGTGTGTGTGTGTGTGAGACAATGACAACTATAAAAACGTCGGCTTTTTAGTTTTTGATAGGGCGAGTGGCAGTTTGGCAATGCTCTTGTACTAGTGAAAATGCAAGCTTACTAAGATAGTCGGCCCTTCGAGGTAAAAAAACGTTTAGTAGCGAATAAGGATTTCTTTGAAAAAATCTGCCCCCCACAACAGCATCTTACCCTCCATTTTACCACCAACGTAAGTGCATGGATCTCAGCTCGCATTGCTCACCCTCTAACGCAGATGTTTTACCCGTAACCTTAATTTTCTATTGTTTTATAATACACATGCATATAAACAAACGTGTAGTAAGCCACACTCGATCAATCTACGTGTAACTGAATCAGTCACGTATAGTAGTATGAACTACGTTATTTCACGGCCAAATGATAAATTATAACAACACGGAACCGTTCAAGTGCCATATAACGTAGCTTATGTACGCATGTGTAGTGTTTCCTACATTCCTGTGGAGGTTGTAGGTTCGTTAATTGACATTGGCGGGATAAGGCAGCCGAGGGTAGGTGGGATAACTATGGACATGCCCCTAGACAGTAGTACAAGTTAAGGGGTCGAAAAGGTCACTATAGTATAGGTTGCTATACTACAAATTGTCGAAGCAAGTGTTACTAACTAACAAAACTCACACATCTCGTCTCTTTCTTTCTGTTTCAACCCCCTCCACCTTTTACCTTTCTCTTAAACCTTCACACAATCACTAGGTACGGTAGTACTTAGTATATAGGGACGGGCATGGTACCCTGGCATCATAGATGTATGGGGCTATGATAGGGAGTTTTGTTCATCATAAATCATAGATGTATACTCACTAAAAAGGAGCCATGGCACCCAACTATAGACCAAGTCACCTACGTAGAAGAGCCAGCAGCAGTATGTTACGTATAATGAGCTACTTTGCATTGTAGCTCAGTGTAATGTGTAAATGTATGCAGACTTAAGGGAGCTGCATTGCGGCTGAAGTTCACGTAATTAGCAAATACTGCAATCTGATTCGGTATCACGATTGAATCAGCACATCAAAGAATTCGCTCACTAGTCACCCAGACCCTTTACCTCTCCCGAGGGCGGGGTCTGGGCAGGAGACCACACCACAACACAATCAGCTCACCCAGGGCACCACGCTCATCAGCTACTCGCTCTCACCCACTCTTGGCAGGCCTAGCTAGCCTCTGGGACAGTCAGCGTAAGATGGTCTAGCCCTGCCATTGTACTGCATGCCACTCCCTTCTCATACGCCCTACTTGATTACATACCTCAGTGAATATGGTCGGGCACCACAACAGACTTAGAAGAGCTTCGCATGAAAATTTTAATATTACGGTACGTGTGTGTGTGGATGTATAATTTATACCACAAGTATTATACACCAGTAGTAAACAACTAACCATACCACAGTTACTAAGTAAGTAAGTATTATACTATGAAGGACATACATTAAGGGACAGGCGCGCCGTAGCACACTACAGTAGTAAGCTTATAGACGCACGCACATGTGCAGTTATTGAAAGTGGGTGCTGCACACACACACACAACATAACGTGGCGTTTTATTTACACAGTCCCTAGCCTTGTAAACAACAGAATAGCACTTTTGTAGCAGAAGGTACACGCAAGGTGTCCTGATTTCAGTACAGACATAAAGCACTCTATCGGCTTAAAGCCCTATGCATCCACTGGGGCTCTGTAGTGAAAGGCTATGTAGTTCCCCACTGTTTACTTCTTCTCGCTATGTTTCAGTACACAAATCAACATACGGCGACATAAGATACACAGTGTGACGCTAATACGTATGCAGCTGCAATACATTTCGGTCACTTACCCTATGGAGCGTTCGTTTAGGAGAGCAGTATACATTATTATAACTGTGTACATAGTCAACTTAAGCTAACACACGGCAATAGCAGCTCCACTTAAGAAAAACATACACGTCCCCCCTTTTCATCTCTCTATGATGAATGCAGCACCCACGCATGCATTCAAGTTACAAGTAATGTTTGTTTACGAGGCTGCAGGCCCCAAATACTCCGTAAATGCATTCCATGTTGTGCTCTAACTTACTGTCTGTCGGCCATACCTCTGGCTAAAATGGTTTTCTGGTATTTTATCGCTCTTTACCTTGAAAATAGTGTACAAATTGGTTAGAGGCGCTGTACATTTCTCCTTCCGTCCATCTCCCTTTTTCCTCTCCATTTTCCTTCTCTTTCTATGCATATTAAAAGACACAGACGGAAATTGACGGAGGCAGAGAGAGCTGCGCGGGCCCGGGAAGCGTACGAAAAAGGAGCGAAGCTTCGAGAGAAATCCAACTACAACAACCACCGCGAGTTACAATCACTCAGACTTTCCCAGTCAATAACACCCGCCTATACATTCAGCTACTTTCAACACGTACCCCCTAGGGGGGCCGAAAATTCTAGCAGCGGGGGAACTGCAAAGGGGAGCCGGAGGGGACAGCAATCTAAGAAGCAGAGGCAGCCGAAAAAGTGATGTCGTTTTTTGTTTCAATGATGTAACGTAACTATGTTTTTGTGTACAAAGTCAATGTTGTTGCGTATGCAGTATAAATGTTTTACGCACACTACTGTATATATTATTATGGAGGGAAATTACAACCATGCTCAGAGGCTGAATACGTGTCATCTTGTCAGTATCCTTGTTCGCGATTCACCGCATGCAGCAATTGTTTGGTTTATATTGTGCCATTCCCCCTCCCTCTCTCTTTTACCAAACACACTCGCATCAGCCTTTCATCCTTCATTTTAAACATAAAAATAACAGTTCCTTTGCGTATAGTTTCTTTTATACACAAACCACATCTTGGAGATTTGGTCGCCTCACACCTTGTGGCTACGTACTTCGCCCACAAAGGGGAAGGAATGGCTGGTAGCTTTTGAAGGTAAACATGGACCTAAAGACGGCATAGTACAAATAGTATATGATCCAATAGCACATACTTTACGGTGCTTGCCAAGCATGTCATCAACAAGGTCAAGGTCAAGGCAAAGCAAAGGCAAACTACACACAGCTACACCCATGACAACTCTCTCTGCCCTGGGTGGGATTTGGACCCATGACACTCTGCAGTCTAGGCGAGCGCTCTACCAACTGAGCTACCAGGGCAACTCAGCTGGTAGGGGTTCGAATCTACAACACAATACACAACACCAAGACCTCAAACCACTGTGCTATGGCATCTGATTGATTTTGAGATCTTTAGAAAATGTGTCAAAATAATTACACCACTAGTCCCTCATTGCACACATGAATATTGAAAAGGGGCGGAGTCTTGGAACAAGAGTCATACTCTGTTGAACATAACTGCATACACAACTGCTGGATTGCATACGCGACTGCTGGACTGCATACACACCCAATTGTGTCGTTTATGCACAGTCACTCACCCAAAATCACTATACTACCTCGAGGTCCGTTGCTTTTCTTGACCTTGTGGTTCACATTAATTCAGGAACAGTCTTTTCAGGATTTCGCAAGTCGCTGGGCACAGTTTTTACAGCTATGCGCCTATTTGCGCATGTATAGGCACACCACCTGCTTGCACTTAGAAGCGTGAACTCCTATGTACTACTGATCTTCACCAGATTACCCTTAATCTTACATCTTGCACCTACTTCTTATGCCAGGCAGACAGAAAAAAATATCATGTGCAGATTGTGCAAAATTATTATCAGCTCTACCAATGGGATTCATCTTTATGTCTGGGCAAGGCATTAAAAATGTGTATACCATGCTGGTTTGCATAAGAGTGCATGTGATATGCACTTAACTTCCTCCTTGATCCCCCAGCCCCCACACTCCATGTGCATGCTTATTCGTCCAGTGACAAAAAAATGTGATTCGTAGGGGGGAAAATGAATAATTAAACCCTCGGATTCCATAGTATTAACTTCCTCCTTGATCCCCCAGCCCCCACACTCCATGTGCATTCTTATTCGTCCAGTGACAAAAAAATGTGATTCGTAGGGGGAAAAAATGAATAATTCAAACCCTGGATTCCATAGTATTAACATCATAACATTGTGCCAACCTACACACGTCAGGACGATACTTGTATATCTCACAGTACGATATTTATACGAATTAACAACATTTCATAGTGGCACTCCCGGATTCGATACTCACGATTATGTGTACAGTGGAAGTCCTCTTATCCTGACACCAATGGGTTAGAATTGAAGGGAATGTGACACTATATAAACGATAGATTTAGATTAATAGGGGCACAGTGAAAGAATGAAATTGAGTTCTGTTTTTAGCTAAATTTATCCCTTATTATACTGCCACATTCACTTTATCCTTTAATAAAGTGTCCATGTCACTAGCGAGGTGTCGTTATCTACGGGTTATATTGCAGCCAATAGCTGTTCTTGGTGGAAGAAAGGGTGGCCCTATTTCAGGGGTGTCCCTAGAGATGGGTTACTTATTGTTGGTAGTGTCTGACACAACTGTAGCAAGGAAAAGGTTAGGATTTGTACGCTGTGCTACAATCGGTACTATGCATCATGTGTGACCACATATTGTAAGTGTATCAACTGATATGCATAAAAGAAAGTCTGCCAAAACCATAATTATTTCCCCACAAGCTCCTAGAATTGAAATATCTAAACCACTGCTATTCCGTAGTGCGTTACTCTACACTGTTTTGCTAGGCCTCTGCTCAATTTCATTAGGCCGTTCTTTTTTGGTCAGGAAATGTACCCCTACTCTTGTATTATCTTTGGTCCACCGACAAAGTCTGTTTTCTTTCAGACTTGCCTAACCTCTGTGTGGGCTTTCTTGGGTGTTGCATGCATTTTAGCACCCACTAAAATATAGCGCCCCACACGACTATGAGCACTAGGAGATTGTACAATAGGGTTGTTGCTGTGCTACACTAGCTGTTCAGAGTCACTGTGCCAATAGGGCTACACCACTAGGAGATAGAGTACATAGGGTTGTGTTCAGAGTCACTGTGCCAATACTGGACTATGAGGCTATATACACCACTAGGAGATAGAGTACATAGGGTTGTGTGCTGCACTGTTCAGAGTCACTGTGCCAATACTGGACTATGAGGCTACATACACCACTAGGAGATAGAGTACATAGGGTTGTGTGCTGCACTGTTCAGAGTCACTGTGCCAATACTGGACTATGAGGCTCATACACCACTAGGAGATAGAGTACATAGGGTTGTGTGCTGCACTGTTCAGAGTCACTGTGCCAATACTGGACTATGAGGCTATATACACCACTAGGAGATAGAGTACATAGGGTTGTGTGCTGCACTGTTCAGAGTCACTGTGCCAATACTGGACTATGAGGCTACACCACTAGGAGATAGAGTACATAGGGTTGTGTGTGCCTGTTCAGAGTCACTGTGCCAATACTGGACTATGAGGCTACATACACCACTAGGAGATAGAGTACATAGGGTTGTGTGCTGCACTGTTCAGAGTCACTGTGCCAATACTGGACTATGAGGCTATACACCACTAGGAGATAGAGTACATAGGGTTGTGTGCTGCACTGTTCAGAGTCACTGTGCCAATACTGGACTATGAGGCTAATACACCACTAGGAGATAGAGTACATAGGGTTGTGTGCTGCACTGTTCAGAGTCACTGTGCCAATACTGGACTATGAGGCTATATACACCACTAGGAGATAGAGTACATAGGGTTGTGTGCTGCACTGTTCAGAGTCACTGTGCCAATACTGGACTATGAGGCTACACCACTAGGAGATAGAGTACATAGGGTTGTGTGCTGCACTGTTCAGAGTCACTGTGCCAATACTGGACTATGAGGCTATATACACCACTAGGAGATAGAGTACATAGGGTTGTGTGCTGCACTGTTCAGAGTCACTGTGCCAATACTGGACTATGAGGCTATATACACCACTAGGAGATAGAGTACATAGGGTTGTGTGCTGCACTGTTCAGAGTCACTGTGCCAATACTGGACTATGAGGCTACACCACTAGGAGATAGAGTACATAGGGTTGTGTGCTGCACTGTTCAGAGTCACTGTGCCAATACTGGACTATGAGGCTACACCACTAGGAGATAGAGTACATAGGGTTGTGTGCTGAGTCACTGTGCCAATTCTGGACTATGAGGCTATATACACCACTAGGAGATAGAGTACATAGGGTTGTGTGCTGCACTGTTCAGAGTCACTGTGCCAATACTGGACTATGAGGCTACATACACCACTAGGAGATAGAGTACATAGGGTTGTGTGCTGCACTGTTCAGAGTCACTGTGCCAATACTGGACTATGAGGCTATATACACCACTAGGAGATAGAGTACATAGGGTTGTGTGCTGCACTGTTCAGAGTCACTGTGCCAATACTGGACTATGAGGCTATATACACCACTAGGAGATAGAGTACATAGGGTTGTGTGCTGCACTGTTCAGAGTCACCGTGCCAATACTGGACTTTGAGGCTATATACACCACTAGGAGATAGAGTACATAGGGTTGTGTGCTGCACTGTTCAGAGTCACTGTGCCAATACTGGACTTTGAGGCTATATACACCACTAGGAGATAGAGTACATAGGGTTGTGTGCTGCACTGTTCAGAGTCACTGTGCCAATACTGGACTTTGAGGCTATATACACCACTAGGAGATAGAGTACATAGGGTTGTGTGCTGCACTGTTCAGAGTCACTGTGCCAATACTGGAGTGATATATGGTTACGAGGTGTACCTGATTAGATGTCAGAGGTCTCTTTGAACTACAAAGTGACCCAATTTTATGAGGTCCTGCTCAGACTGGAGCTCACCAAACTCACTAAACTGTTCAGAATGCTAACAATCCTTCTATATGGCCTGCATGTACAAGCTAACAGGATGAGGGCCTTTGTCAAGTCTGCATCAATTGACATGTATGTAAACTTGGTACCACCCTAGAGATCTCTCTTTGGTAAGGACATGTACGCTAAAGAACACACTATAAGCCTACTATAATTGTACTAGGAATGTGCATGGTATGTTTTGCCTCGCATTAATTGGCCGACTGGCAATTAACATTTCTCCCTACCACTAGCAGCAGTATTTCCATTATACGGAAAATTCGTATAATGATATTATTATTTCAAGGCAATATCCCCCATTCAGAATAAAAGATTTTCCCTATAGTGGGGGTATAGGGAGGGAGGGAGAATTATAGTGGTCCATAATGGTATACACAATATGGGGAGATATAAAGTGGCAACACCAACGTACATCTCAAGTATGCTAACTCTGATATTCCCAACAGACAAGGGGCCAGCATGACTTTACATGACCCATTTTGAAACCACACACAACACAACAGGCAAGCGTGGGTGTACATTATGAGCTGCTAAGCTTCTATAGGGGAAGCCTTGGTTTGGAGGTGCCGTATTTCAATTTGACTTCTTGTCTCTAATGTGTCAGTCAATTCTGAAGGGACAAAAGGCTGCTGTGTACATTGTGAACTGCTACAGTTCTATGTGCATCTGATAGGGGAAGCTTTGGTTTGGAGGTGTCGTATTTCAATTTGACTTCTCGGCTCCAATTTGTCGTCTTCATTTCACGATTTTGATATGAGCACACAGGAAAACAGGCTACTGTCAGCTGCTACATGTGTATATGTATTTTAAGATGGGAAACCATAGCGTGAGGCTATAATGTACTTGGAACCCATGACATAAGGATGCAGGCCAAATTAAATACTAAGACACCATAGAGAGTGTATCATAATACTACTGGAATATGGGGAAATATATACGGTTTGACTGTGGAGGGGTTGTAGGTGTTCAGTATTTACTATAACCAGCAGTGTACTAGATCCCTTCAGGGCTCAGCTCACAAGCAGGCATATTACACAATGAGACATACTCGTGCACACATCAAATGAACACCCAATGGCAACACACACAGAGGGTTTACAAGTGGAACTCCTCTAATCCAGACACTAATGGGGGAGAAGAAAGTGGCCATATTTGTGAGGTGTCCTGAGCATTATACAGTGGAATTCCTCTAATCCAGACACTAATGAGACAAGTGGTCCATATCTGTGAGGTGTCTGAGCATTATCAGTGAACTCTCTAATCCGGACACTAATGGGGCAGAGAGTGTCCATATTAATGAGTTTCCTGGCATTATAAGTGAACTCCCTAATCCCGACACTGGGCAAAGTAAAGGCCATATTTGTGAGGTGTCCTTATTTAAGGGGTTGAATTGCACGCTAGAAACCGGTCTTGGGGAAGGAAAAGGTGTCCTTATTGGAGATGTGTCCTCATTTCAGGAGTATCCTTATTAGAGAGGTGTCCTCATTTCAGGAGTGTCCTTAGAGAGGTGTCCTCATTTCAGGAGTGTCCTTAGAGAGGTGTCCTCATTTCAAGAGTGTCCTTATAGAGAGAGAGAGAGGTTCCACTGTCTACATACACTTCATCGACTTCATTAGAAAAAGTGTTGGCCATATTTACACGCCATAATTCGTACCCACATCAGTGTAACGCAGTCCACCACTGCTTGTCCCTGTTGAAACTATACCTTGTTGAAATAATATCGCAGCTTTAGTGTTTTATTCTCCGTGGAATAACAAATGATGAGAGCAAGGTAAACGCTGTGCGTTGTGTTCTTACGAAACGTAAACAGCCCCACAAGGGATTTAAACCACCAAACTCTACGACGACCCATCCTGTCTGAGTGTACATTTCACGCTGTATGAAGTTAGCCCTGGACAAGTAAAGCAACAATCAATGCAATAATATGGTGAGTTCTGATAATTGATACACACAGTGTGTACCATGCACCATTTGCTGATTCACCCCCTAGATAAAGATCGAGCTTGTTACGTCTACTAACTTGCCCTCTGCATGCCCACACTTCTTCCTCCAACCCCCCCCACACACTTTCTCTCCCTGCTTCCCCCCTATCTCTCCTACACTCTTAATGCATGAACACCCCTTCCTTCTACTCCCCTCCCCTCTCTCCCACCCCCCACTCCCCACTCTCCCCCTTTTCACTCCCTCTCTTTCTTGATCTGTCTCTCCCTTCCCCCCTCCTCCCCTTTCTCCCTCCAATTTCTCCCACTCTCGTCTTCCACCATACATTTCCTACTACATATAACCATCTGGGCAGTGCACATGTACAAGCACACACCTGGCAGTTAGCTCCACAGGTGGATTAGTTTCATGAGTAGGGCAAGATTGTGGTAAGGCTCTACCACCCCCCCTTGATCCCAGATACACACAAGTCTGTGTATATATTACATCTACGTGTATTGGTAGCAAAGTAACTCCCACCGATGGTTAAATTAATTCCCTATTTGTTGGAAAGGTTTTCCTACAAATTATATACGGGTGGTCCACCCCAACTACACAGGGGAATCTGGTAGTAGACAACTGGTATGCCTTGGCACAGGATGTGTGCCTTTTAACCAATACCGTGCTTGTTTCGCAGAGCAGTAGAGCAATAAATCTTCAAAGGAGAAAGTGTGTGTGAATTTTACGGTTCCATTCCATAATCATGAACATTTTCTCTGCGAATTTGACTATTGTAGCAATCTGTGTGTGAAACTTTAAAAAATGCGAGATTCACGTTAAAATTCGTTTATTATAAAAGCGTAGATTGTGCTACCCACGTAATATGTTGAACAGTATTGTAGGGAGGCTTTCCTCCATTGCAAACAACCGCATTGCGAGACAGTGGCTTCTCATACGGCAGCCCTGCACTGACAAACCAACCAGCCCACTCCTAATCTGCACCAGTACATACCTGCACTCCAGAGTATATCTTTCCCTGTGGTCAATGTGAATGGTGTTTCCTCCACTAGCAAAAACACCCTCTACACCAGTTTCCTGTGCCACACGGTAGGGCTGGGCTGATGGTAAGGGATTCATTCGGGCCATTCGTGTGGTATAAACCGCACCGCAATGATCAGAGATTTACAACACCTTTTCCTTCAGTTATGTGAAATCCGAAGCTATGTGATTCACTCACCAACCCAATCACAGCTGCATGGTGCGGCATGCGGCAAAGAACGAAACATGCCACACCAGTACTGTCGGGCATCTTATACGAAAGAGGAATTTCGTTACGTGAAATGGTCAAAGTCAAACTAATAGTGATTGGCAGCAAATGGTTCCTTGGTAACACAAAGTTTGAAAACACCAGTGTAATATTGACATCTGCGCAAAATGAGTGATCTAAGTTTCAAAGTTGCCACCTCTATATTGTTATGGTGTGTATTTATGTGTCTTTATGCTCCAAAGAGATATCATTCCAAACTTTTAACCCTTTTAGCTACACACCTCCCACACCACCACAACTGAAGGTAAGAAATGGCCTCATAATAGCCAGGAACTGATGAAGCTTGCATACACAACTAGAGTCGGTTACATCTGTGTGTATACCGCATTAGAGCGCCCTGGCATCTGCAATGATCCACCCACACTTACTTCTACTCACAAGGAAGAGTCCTCCCGCGCCCGCCCAGCTCAGCTACGCTTCCTCTGCGAGGACCTGTCCGGAAGAGCTGCACGGCGCCACACTGCGTTACTCAGAGTTCAGTTTACGCGCGGCGCACGCTCCGCTCGCCCACGCAAAATACCAGCGGGAAAACCGCGGTCAGCTGTGAATCAGCTGGCGGGCCACGCGCGGGCGGGCTTTTTTCCCGGCAAAACAACCACTTGCGCGACTCTGCCGCGGGTTTGCCGCGAAAGTGTGGAGGGCGTTCCTCCACTATTTTAGGGACTCTGCGCAGGCATCGAGGTCGCTCAGTCCTTCTTCATCCGGGACGAAGGCCAGTGGTGCGTGTGTGTGACTGTGCAACGTGCACGACCGAACTCTGCAGTCGCTAACAACACCTCTACTAACGCTACGCACGTCTTCCCCGCACGTACGGCCGCCGCCACTCGCCATCACGCACCCGACCTCTCGCTCTCGTTGTGTGTGCACACAGCTGCAATACTTCTTTCCGCCACAACTGGCTCATCAGCAAGCCGATCGTCCGCCCAGCCTTCTTCTTCCCTCGCGCACTCTCTCCGTACACCCGTCTGTCCTCGGCGAGAGTTTCCACGCTCGCTACACTTGAGAATCCCGTCTTCAGCCTACTGTGCGTGCCACCAGCGACCCACAGCAAACCCGTCAGACAACGCAACGGTCCAACGCAACCACCAGCGATCCGATCGAACAGCGGACGAACAAAACATGGCCGCGGACCTGCTCTGCATGGAGCTGTCTTCTCACCCGGCTCTGTCCTCGGAGATCCCCGTGGACCAGCGGCGACTGGAGACGTTCCTGGACCAAGAAGACTTGTTCATGCCCACCTACCACAGACAGCACGACGCGGGGAGACTGGCTTTAGCCGAGGACGAGAACCGCACCAGAATGCTGGAGGCCATGCATCGGGTATGCTAGCTTGTATTATACCTTGTGTGTGTTGCAACTGAACTGAAAATTTGCGCGAGCGTTTGTCGTAGTTTTGGGACATCTAGCGTGTTGTCCCGCGTCTTTTCCTGTTCACGCACAATCGACCGCCGGTCAAGGTGTAAACTTTTATAGTACGTTTTTGCCATTGTTTCGCGGCGCGTGTGCGTGGACGGTGCCGGTGTGTAGTAGTTAGTGCGTAATGCTCCTATAAAACTGCGAGTTTTCCTTAGTTACCTGCACTGTTGGTTGACCCTTATTGCCCTGTTTTCATTTCACATCCCCACTCTCTTTCTCTCCTCTTTCCTTCCCTCCCCTTTTCTCCACCCTCTCTTCCTCCCTCTCTCCCTCCTTTTTCTCTCTACAGGCACTCTGCCCTGGACTAGAAGTCAGCAGAAGCGATGTCTACCACTTATCAGTCAATCTCATGGACCGGTTCCTATCCTACGAGAACGTGAAATCGGAACGGGACCTGTGCGCCACCTCAGCCGCCTGTACCATGATTGGTCTGAAGATACTGAGAGCCCGCGAAGAGTGTCTTAGCTACGACTACCTACGATCGTATTTCGACCGTGTTCCCGAGTCAAGGATTAGGGTATGCAACAGAGAAATCGTATTGGGTTTATGTGCCTGCATACAAACTTGATAAGCCCCTGTAGTATAACTAAAAACTTTCACCACCGGAAGACTTTTATGAATAGCTGGAAAGCAGCGTTTTCACGATAAGGTTTAGATAAAGTTTATTATATCTGCCGGCAAGCACGAAATATATTTCGTGGTTTAGTGAAATTTGCCGAAAGTTTTTAGTTGCACACTAGGGCACTGTTGAAGTTGATTTGTGAGATTAGTGTACTGTTTTATGTATGTGGCCTATGTCTTTAGGATGATAAGGGTGACCTTGATTAAAGTGATGTAATGGTGTGGCCCATGCCAATGATTGAAAACTTGTGTTTTTAAATAAACGCTGTCCACATTAACGATGCCAAAAAGCATAGTTTTTGTCTGACCACAGTTTATTTTGAAATAGTACGGTACCTCAATCACATTTGTGTAATTTGGCAATTCGTTCATTACACAAGACGGTTGAACGCCATGTTTGATATTTATGCAAGTTATCTTAACTTGCATTCACTTCTTTAATGTCCCCATAAGGTTCCCATACCTTACAAATGGGGACCAGTTAAAAACAAGACAGGTGTATAACCTATTACCGAAACCTTAGTAGTTTTGTCTTCTTATCTTTCATCTACATAATATAAATGAGAGTTGCATATCATGCACTGTTCAACATTTTATCATGCACAGCACATCGAACAGTAGCATATCATGTAGTGCACAGAGACACAATCCGGACTAAAGGGCCAAAGAAAGCAAGTCATTCTTGCTATCTGTCTGGTACTCCTGAAGCCTCCCCTTACAGGATGTGCAGTGGCCACAGAGTGTACTTGGTAGGCTACAGTAGGTCTCTCAGTGATTCTTGACTATCTGTTGTGGTCTATGCTACAGCTGATAGTTCCCAGCTACTCTGATATAATATAGGCCAGCTACCTGTTTTCTAGATATTAGGGGGCAAATCGGCAGGGAAATGACAGGCCAACCAACCATCCCTGAATACACCTAAATAATAGCTGCAGGGTGCATACAGGAGATATGGTGGCTGGAGCCTTGCCTCCAGCTTGCCTCCAGCTGCATTGTGGTGTTGAAAAAAGAACTATATAGCTTGCAGATGCACACCATCAGAATATGGCACTATCAGCTGGCTGGTTATGCGGTGAAGGTTGTCCTGGGAAAGTAGATAAGGTTTGCTATAGCCCAGCACTTTCTTGAGTCAGCAGGTGGTGGTGGTGGGCTTATTGCTGGGCATAATGCTAGCAGCACTTGCTTAGTGGTTGCACTTCAAAGATGTAGTGTAGAGATGCTCTCTTTTGCTGGCAGGCTAATTCGCATCCAAAGCTGCATTGTACATTACTTTTCGGCGTTTTTTGCCTTTTTCTTCTCTAAGTTAGTTTTCAAGTCCTACACACCATTGACGAATGCTCCTTTTATCGTGTTTGTCTCTTCCTTATGTGTATATACAGGTTTATAGTGCACTTTCAGAACAAATGCCTTCAACCACATTGTTTTTAGCTACCCATCTCTCAACTGCCTATTATAAGTAGTAGTAGTAGTACAGGTGCATGCGTGAACAGTAACATAACGAGAGGAAAATGGGATTAAGTGTGGGGTCTGCTGTTGACTTTCAGTAGGCGAAGGTTAACTCGTGTCCCAAAAGAAGAGGGGGTTTTATGAGCAAACAGTGGTGTAGGGTGAACAGCACGTTTTCACGATGGAAAATAACAGGCCTTACATGTACATATTATGTGTTGTGTGTGTGTGTGTGAGAGGTTTATAGAGAGGTGTCGATATAGTCTTTCACTACGGTGGTAAGAACTTCGTAGCTTAGCCCTAGCGGTGCCCCAAGCTTCTTTGCTATTAGCTCTATCAAAAGATTGAAAATAGTAGGCCTTACATGCACATATGTGTTGTGCCCGCGTGTGTGTGTGTGTGTGTGTGTGTGTGTGTGTGTGTGACTTACATATCACAGGAAGTAGCCAACCATAATATTACTAGAATGAAACCCTGAAGCAATCTGATACAGATTCTTTCCATTTTTAACAGGGGCACGCTGCGTAAATACAAATTTACCGACAGGGGCTTTCGCACAGAAATAAAACAAGCCATATGGTCAAGCAGTGTTGGACTGAAAGTAAACAATGTGGTGGAAGTGCACGACCTAATATATGCAGGAAAGTGTTAATACCTTCGGACCTCACAAACAGGAAAACTGGCCTATTACTGCAGCTTTGCCTGTGCCGTACGGTGTAAATTGATTTTTAAAATACCCAAGAAAAATTTTGAAGTAAATAATTGGGGAGCTTCAAGAAAACATGCACTTAAATTCTGCGAACTTATTTTAATCTTGAAGGTTTCACATTAGTAGATGACTTGTAAATTGTAGCCACGAGTTGATACAAGTCAGCTGGATACGACACATGTCTGTTGCTGTTTGAAATTCTCGCACATGCAGCTGCGGATATCAGCTGGGCTTTAAACCATAGTGGAACACCCCTTTTTGCCATACCTTGCCATCCAGTGGCGAAGATAACAATATTCAGTGATGTAATCACCTGTAGATGTATTAATATTGTAGACGTGAACAGTCAAAATAACGAGTGTGCCACCCCTTGTAAACCAGTACATGGAATGAGACATACATTATTGACAAGGAAACACAAGTATGACAAGAAAGGTGCGAAAATATACGCTTACATCGACAAAACAACAGGCATGCTTTATTCTTAACTTAAATCAATTAGCGCTACAGATCGATTTTTTTCCTTTATAGAGAGGTGTCGATATAAATCTTTCCCTAGCCCTTTAAGCGGTGCCCCAAGCTTCTTTGCTATCAAAAGATTGAAACCACTTCGAAAGTGCATCATCTTTTGTGAATCTTCTGCTTGATAAAGACTTGCTTTTGTTGTTGGAGGATTTCTCATAGAATACCACAGCCCTGTGACCCTAGATGCAGGAAGGCCAAATCCTTACCCGTTGTAGATGAAAATTGCACCGATTTCAGGCGTGTAACATGGTTTGTTGGAATCTTATGGGAGAACCAATGCTTCAAAACAAGTGAAAAGTAGACAAATTTTGGCAGAGCACATGCAATTTACACTCACAAGCACCAGAGTACAGGAGGGAAACAGTAATTTTTACAAGCATAGCTTAGAATTGTGACCGGCTGTGAAGGGAGAGGAAGCACTACTGTAAAGCTCAATAGAAATATAGTGAAACATGGGCAGAGCACACTAGAGCATACAGAAGGACACAGGCACAGAGAGTGAGGTGGTTGAGCATGGGTGGGCAGGTGGCTGAGTCACTCACCTGGGTCCAGCAGATAGCAGGATTGTGGGTCTCTGTTTGTAGCTCTGGCAGCAGTCCACCCACTGGGATGTGTCAGTTGGAGCGTTCAAACCAAAGTGTGCCCTGCTTGTGTAAACCCTTTCAGACCAGCAGAGTGTGTCCAACTATCATAGCTGGCTTATGAAGTCACTGTGTTGTGTGGAAGTGCAGCTTATAGTAAGCAGTACTGGGTACATATTCCAGCGGCTATATACTATGTATATACTGTACTTGGACATCCATGAAACACTGGCTGAACATTGCTATTAGTACTAAGTAACTTCAGTAGGCTTATATATAGCACTGCCTAAATGATGTTTCGGACAAACAGACCGGTTAGTTTGTCTCTGTCTATACACGCCCTCAGGGATCTGTTTGCTTGTTGGGTTTGCCGGGTTTTCTTGTGCAATACATAGTACTTCTGAAGTAGGCTTAAGACATTTCGAACACTGGATGGACATGGCTATTAGTGTCAGTGGGCTTAGCACTGCCTACACGGTGTTTTAGACAAACAGGTGTTTAGTTTCTATACACGCCCTCACGGACATGTTTGCTTGTTGAGTTTTCGGGGTTTTCTCACGTCTGTACACACTATGCACTCTGGGGAGGCATGTATTGTGACTCGCATATACTGTATAATGCAGAAGTGGGTAGAGAGTGGGGGGAAAAAACTGGGCATACAGAGGGAGTGAAAAAAACTAAGTCGCCAAATGTGGCAATTACCCTCCTTGCTTGTTTCGATAACACAAAGTGCTTTACACTCCTTTTGGTTGAAGTGTTTTTACAAGTCCCGTCCCTGCAGTGATGAAAAGTACCGAGATTCCCTTATGTTTTCCGTGTGAATCCCTCCCCTGCGAAGGCATTTATTGTGGCTGGATTTGATAGCCTTTCCCTCGCCTTTTGATAGCCATTTGGCAGTGTTTGTTGCCTCAAAAACTGTGTGTTGTGTTGGCATTGGGCTCCTAGTACTTAGTATATATAAATATATAATATATATATAGGTATGTATATATATATATATATAATTATATATATATATAATTATATATGTGTGTATATATATATATAATTATATATATATGGGAATGGTACCTAGCATCCTAGATGTATAAGGCTATGATAGGGAGTTTTGTTCATCTTCTTCTTCTAGTGTAACTTGCTACACGGCGTCCTAGTGGGGTTGGACCTTTATGTAGGTGCTATATACCTCAGAGGGGCCCTGGAGTTACTAAGCAGTATTATGTCGGAAGTTAGAAAGTTCCTAGATAGAAGCATTTTTAACCCGGAACGCACTGTATGACTAGCTTTTTAACGCCAACCCTCAGCCTATACTAATGCAACCTACGTTCTGTTTTAACCTCAGTTATACGTACGTGTAGAAAGCCTTACCGGGTTTTCCATTAAGGGTATGTACGTCTTTCGGGTGGAGTTGGGACTAAAAGTTACCCCCAGAGTGTAAAATTGCAGTCTTGACAGCAATCCAGGGCACAGGATATCCAAACTCTACTATGGCATTGATATGTGCCTTGGAGTGGAAGCCAGGTGCTAACACAACTATTGGTCTGTAGGGGTGTCTGCCCAGTATGTGATGTCCCTGGAGTCTCTGCGGTAGAATGTGTATGTGGGAAGTGGAGGGAGGGAATGAGGGAGGGTAGAAGGAAGGGGTGTTGATGCATGCAGAGTGTAGGATAGGTAGGGGGAAACAGAGAGAGAAAAGATGGGGGGGGTGGGGGTGTTCATGCGTGCAGAGGGCAAAGTAGAGGAGACATAACAAATGTCATCTTTATCTAGTGGAACAGTGGACGGAGGTAAGGACCCTGAGAAAAAAGGGGGCCAACACCTGCAGGTTTACCTTTTTACACCCTATCAAGTTGAGCCGCAACAAGTTTGGGGTTAGCTGTCTATCTCTGTTTGGGCCCAGTTAGTGCAAGTCTGCATGTCTTGGGTATAGTTAGTTTACCGGGGAGAGTCGATTCTGGTTCGCAGTGTGTAAACTCTGCCCTTCCCTCTGCTTTTAATGTTTGCACCTGCACAATACCCCCCCCTGTGCACCATAGTGTATGGAACTATTCTTTTGCTTTCAACCTGGCACTACGAGACATTGACAAACCATCCCATTTCAATGTGGGACAGCTGATAACATGTAAGACTGACAAACTGTCAAATTTAGGATTAGGCATTAGCTGTCCCATTTCATAATGGGACAACATGTTAAGTGTCCCATTTCGGGATGGGACAGCTGTTCTGAAGGCAGGATGCTGTGAGGCCATTGGTATGAAAACTGGTGGCCTGTTGGTGGGTGGATTGTGGCTTCAGGCTTCCCAAATCAGCTGATTGGTAATTGATTGTTGCCCTATATGGCCCCACCACCCCCTCTTTAGTTGTAACTTTGCACCCAGACACTCTGTGTGTTGTTTATTAGCACTTTCCTATATAGCTCAAACTAGAAAGTACTTGGTTTGTGAGTCTGTCTGTCTGTCTGTGGTTCTTCAATCCGTCTATCTGTTACCACGTTTTCTGCCGCCACCGCAACGAGACAACAAAGTAACGATACCAACTTTTAGTGGGAGCGAGCTTCACTCTAGTGTAAGTCAGTAAATATTCTTGACTGCTGCCACTTCTACTACCTTCCTTATACATCTGGCCGGGCTGAGGGTTGAGCTTCTAAAAGACTTGCAGCTGCTGTATGTTATGATGTATCTGCTACAGCTGCTACAGCTGCAACAGAAACACAAGAATCCAGGTAGCCGTCTGACTCCCGCAAAAACTTATCCAGACGGCCCCCTCCGGCTGCTAGCCGGCTTTGTTCTACAGGACTACAGCATTACCTGTTACCGAGCGAGCTTCCGACTAGACGAGTTACATGTGGACGTGTAAATGTGATGTTAGACTGGTACATGTACACCGTTGAACAATAGGCTGTTGGCAGTCGGCTTTCTGAGCTTTTCAGTGGTTTCCTAACAACAGGAACTACAACATAGCACCTCTGGCTGACAATAGCTTACCATTATTCTTCCGTACAATGTGTGAGGATTCTTGATAGCAGTATGTGTAGTGTAGGGACTTTGTACTTCTGGGCTAACAACACTACACAAGCTAGATCAGTTTCAAGTTTCATAGTTTTGTATCTCAAGTTTGACCTCCTGCCCTCCGGATTCCTCAGCAGGAGTATAGTGTTAGCCCCAGCTGACACCACCAAAAGAAAGACTTTGCAACTTCTAAGAATTAGCCCGAGTGCCTTCAACCTCTGCAGAACCTGAGATCCCTTTGGTGGGGGTTTTCATGGGTACCTCTCCTCCACTATGGCCTATCCCCCACTATGGCCTATCCCCCCCACACCACGCATACACACACCAGTGGGAGCTCAGCTGTTATGATAGCTGAACAACAGAGACTGTATGTGTGTGTGTGTGTGTGTGTGTGTGCTTGATCCGATAGATGCCAGTTCACTATTGTGTGAGAATGCTGAAAATTGTGATAATCCTAGAGGTTTTTTTTCCCGTTGCTTACCTCCTTCCCTACTCCCGCAAACAGTGAGAGCTACGTAAGCTGGCATAATCCACAGAAATTAAGCTTTCGCAGCCTACCATCTGTAGTGCTACCCTGCACAGCATTTTAGCACCAGCTAGAGGTCCCCCCACACACACACACATGTTTTCATAGGTGACTGTGATTGAATGTAAGCTGCCAGCACCTTGTGCATCAGACTAGTGTGGCCTCTATAGTACTGCGTGCGCTGATTAGCTTTCACCAGCCAAGTTGCCCTCTCCCTCCCAACTTCATTACTGCCCACAGCTGCTCCACTCAACTAAACCTCACCCAGAGTGAAAGGAAGGGATGTGTATACAGTCTTTTCATTCCCACTGGTTCTTTTCTGAGTAGTGTTTCCCGCAGGTTCCCAAAAGTAGGTTGTGTTGAACAAAGTTGTGGTGTTGTCCCTGTAGGTTTAACTAAACCTCAAATATTTTTCTTAGTTTGGTTTCTGGTAACTAATGCGCAATGAGAAATACCCCCAGTTTTCCCATAGCCAGAAATGTATTGTGTGTTGTGGTGTAAAGCTATGTATATGGGTTGTGTCCTGTGGTGTAATATCTTTGTGTACCAATTTCTACTGGGTTATAAGTATGTATAGTGGGATACCCTTGTGGCCTATGGCCACAGCTGAATGTGTTATCGTAATTGGAGCCCTGCTTTTGTAGATGGTATCAGCTATGCTTCCATGGTGAAACCTGTAACAAAGTACATCAATTTGGTGGTGTGCTACATTGTTACTATAGATATCTTAATTGAGGCCCCAGTGTTCTCCGGTTCAGTAGTGATTCAAGTTGGGAATGTATTAAAAACCCTATGGTCCCAAAGATGCTTCCATTGTACGGAATACCCTCTTCAATGCTTAGTGTAGCTCTTGTTCTCCCCAGGGACACTAATAATATAGTGCTACTCCTTTTTACTCACAGAACCACCGCATGATGCTAAACATTTGAGAGAAGAATCTTTTACGAATTACGTAACTCTAAACCGAAACGGAATTTCTCTTTCTCAGCACCCTGCGCGTGTTTGTGTGTGTGTGTGACTTTCAAGCTCGCTCACGAGAAATGTGTTGCATTCGCTCTAGTGATGTATGCAGGTAGGCCACCCCATGTAGCTGTGTTGCATTCGCTCTTATAGTGATGTATGTAGGTAGGCCACCCCATGTAGCTGTGTTGCATTCGCTCTAGTGATGTATGTAGGTAGGCCACCACATGTAGCTGTGTTGCATTCGCTCTAGTGATGTATGCAGGTAGGCCACCCCATGTAGCTATACAGGTAGCCTGATGTCTGGTGTAGTAATCAGCATTGCATGCCATGGTCAGTTAGATCTCTTCCTAATTCCGCTCCCTGATCAGCATTCTTGCTACTGTGGGTATCAATATTTCTGCTCTGGTAGAGTGGGCTTTGTTGGTTTGAGTTACATTTTACTCCAAAATATTTCCCTTTTCCTATTTACTTTTCCTTAATTCTTGCTCCAATTGGGGTCTATTGTCCGTAAAAGGTGTGCACGGATAATTTAATTAGCTCTGGATTAAAAATTCTTTTTTTGGGGTGTGAGGGGGAGGGAATGGATGGGTAAGTGAGCGTATGGGAAGTTTAGGTGGTAAGCGAAGCTGCATAATATTGTGTCAGTTTGCTGCAAAGCAAAGTTCTAGCTCGTCGACACTTGATGCGGTGGCGCAGACTTGATCTTTGTTTCTGCTTTTTCTGCATTACGTCTTTCCACAACTTAAAGGGAATGTGGCAGTATTAAGGGCGAGATTTAGAAATGTTTCTAAAAATGGAACTCAATTGCATAGTTCATTGTGCCCCTATTGTTTTGCTCTATCATTACATTTCTAAATTTAGCCCTTATATTATACTGCCACACTCCCTTTAATACAAATCACATCTGTGCCTGTTTTATGATAGTGGACCAGACTGATCACCATAGGTGACCAAACTCACCCCCTACCACCAACCTCTTCCTCCCTCACACACTAGATACCTGCCCACTTACTCCTGTCTTTGTGATATGGTAACCCTCTGCTGGCATTCCCCTGGGCTAAGCAAACACAATGACCACTGGAGTAGTATGGTATCTTGAATTACTGTTACCAGCTGATACCCTTGGCCCAGGGAGGCCCAAACCTGCCTTAGTTTTCCTTGAGAATGTTACTGGTGTAGTCCATTGGAATCGATCCACTATAGAACGCCGCCCCATCTGTGTGTATATGCGTAGACGCTCTAAACCCAATCTTGTTGGGGAAGTAAAACTATCTGAGGTGAGCCTGACACAAAATTTATATTCAGGGAAATGCTTACCTGGAGCTTCCTGCATTTAAGAACCTACTTTGCCAAATTGCGAGGTAGTTTCACTTGCGCAATGGCAAGACATTTTGCTTGATGCTTTGCTGGGTAGAGAATACCACAGCCATTGAATGCACTTGGGTTATGTAGGTGCAAGAAAGTGAACGATACACAAAGAGATTCACTCCGCGCTACTTCCAACTTGCGAGAGTAGTTTTGTCTATCACACCTCCCTCTCCAACTGTGGAACCACCCCATGTCACACGCCGCTTGAACATTCACGGCACTTAATTCGTTCACCGTGCTTAAATCACACACTGGAGTGATCAATCACAATGCCATGGATACACTTACTGATGGGACCTTGTAGCTCAGCTGTGTATGGGGCTATGGGGACACCAGGTATTCATGTGGGAGAGATAGAGGCACCGAATTCTTGTTGGATTGTTCTTACACAATGAGGGCACTGATAGTGGTAGAAGGGAAAGTATGTGTTTGCTGCCCTAATCTCTAGGCTCACTGGCTCCCCGCTCTGTGTAATAGGGTGTTTGTCATGTGGTAGTGTGTGTCTATGAAATCTCTCTTTCATTTGTCCCCTGTGCAGGAGAAAGAGAAACACATAGCCAAGAAGCTAAACTGGAACCTCAATGCCGTGACCATTGCCAACTTTATCGACGAGCTGTCCAGACCGCTGGCCCTGTATTTTGAAACCAGTCTCATTCGGAAGGTCGTGACGCACTCTCTCACTCTCGCCAACGTCTCATTACTGAGTGAGTACACGTCTCTCTTCCTCCTCTTTACTCACCTTCCCATTACTTCTCACATGATAATCTATAGCACACACGTGCACAGTGCCTGTGTATGCGCAGTTTGGATGTGAATACACATGGTGGAGCACTTTAACACTAACATCTACGACACACACAGAACTACTTTAGTTGTATTATGTGTACTAATGTAACCCACAGTTATGCAATTACAACGTTGGTATAGTAGGGAAATAGGGTGCCAAACTGACCCGGCCATGGGTTCACCACTTTCTCTTCTCTCACCATATCATGTCATCTGTCCTGAGTGTAGTTGACTTGTTTGTTGGGCCTTTCTACCTCGTAGTTGACACGTGCTGCATAGTTACCGCCTCATCACTCCCCCTCCCCCCCACACACACAGACCACCAGTTCATGAAGGTCCCTCCCTCACTGCTGGCCAGTGCCTGTCTCTGCGACGCCGTAAAACATCTGGCACCTCATCTCCACAGCAAGTGTGTCGAGGAGCTGACAACACTCGCAAGATTGGAGCAGGTGAGATCCAAAACTATAGCATGCTACTTCCACAAAAGCTCAGTAGTAGATAGTGACAAGTTAGAAGCCTAATGGCCCTTTTGCACTGTACCATTCTCTGAGATGCAGTGAAAACACTGCTGCTGCACCTGCCAGTACAAACTCCAATTGATGTGCACTTGTTTTTACACGTGGGTGTTGAATGGTGTAAGCCAGCCATCATAACATTGCTGGTAGTGTCACTAGTGTGTGTTTTTGGTGTGGTGGGTACCATAAAACAGTGGTTAAGACTTTGATCATACAGAGAGAGGGTGTGTGTTGATATGTACTGTAGACAAAACACAGATGTTGTTGAGCTTACTCTCTCTCCTTCTTCTCTCCTTCCCCTTTCCTTCTTCCCTTTCCCTCCCTCTCTCCTTCTCTCTTTCCCTGTCTCCCCTCCCTCTCTCCTTCTCTCTTTCCCTTCCTTCTCCCTCCCTCCCTCCCTCCATTCTTCCTCAACAGGATGTGCTACTGCAACACGAAGAGAGTGTGGGGTACATGGTACAACTAAAACTACAGGCACTGGAGAGTCCGCACACGTCAACTCCAGCCGGACTGGAGGACATAGAGAGTCAAGAATTCGGTAGCCCCGCCCACTTCAGCTTCCCCGACACCTCATCAACAAACTGTTCACAGCAGCAGATTCAGAATCAGCTCCAATATCCGTCACACGAACCGGCGTGACTTCTTCGTTGCGTAGGATTACCTCATTGTTAAAGAACCACCTCCCCACCTTCCCTCCCTGTGTCATCCCTCCTCCAACTAATTAAATTCCACTTCTCCCTCCACATATATCCAAAACTCATCCCCGTCCGTCCGTACTCCCATCCTCGTACCAAGAAACTCCATACTCCGTACTCCCATAGTGACATCTGGGGTTGATTTATACACATGCCCCAATGTATATACTGTGTTCTCCCCATGCATCGTGTGCAGAACATATGGTTCCCCAACGGAAAACCCCTTTTTTAAAGTCATTTTTATCTTCTCAGCCACCCCCCACTCCCCCCACTCCCCCACTCTCTCTCTCCCACTCTCTCTGCAATATCTCAATCTTGATCACCAGTTTTAGCTGAATTCTTTTCTCTTATGGTTTATGTAATTCTAGGCTTTTAAAAGAACTTTTGAACGGTTTTCGACGCTGGACTTTTTGAACGTTTGGCTTTCCTTGTACTCTCTACATTTTTAGACTACCATTTTGACTAGGAGACCTTTGACTTTTGACACCTTTTATTATTTGTTTTATTCTGTGATGTATAATTATACTGTATTATGTATAATACGTGCACAGAATGATATTATATAAACCACTGAGAACAGTTTCTCCTTTCTGCACCATCCCGCATAATTATTAAAAAAA